CACATATACACTTTGTGCATACCTTTACTATTGCACACTCTACAGTGTTTTAATTATTGTGGTTAATACTATACCTGGTAGAATCAGTATAAATGAGGTTTCATGTGTAAATTAACAAATGAATAAATGAATGAATAAAAATCACAAAACATTCCTGAAAGAAACTGAAGATGACCTAAATAAATGGAGGGATATATCATGTTCATAGATCAGAAGACTCAATATAGGTTGAACATCCCTAATCCAAAAATCCAAAATGCTCCAAAATATGAAATTTTTTGACTGCCAGCATGATACCACAAGTAGCGAATTCCACACCTGACCTCTTTTGATGGGTGATAGTCAAAATGCAGGTACACTAGACAGTTTATTCAGAGTACCCAAGGGAAAGAAAAGACTCTCCCAGTTCCCTTCAGCTGTGTGATATCTTTTCTGCCCATGTCCAGGTTACTCCACCAAGTACACCCACAAAGGGTCATAAAATGGCACCCATGCAGCCCAGACACATGAACAACAGTAACAAATAAAGTATGTTGTACAAGAACCTTCAATCAAAACACAGAATTGTAGAGAGAAACTAGAAGCCTTCCATCGTTTGTTGTTACTGTTGTTTAACAGCTGAGGCAGGTATTCTGGTGATGCCACTGTTCTGCTTAGTTACCCTGAACACATTCTTCTTCACTGTATTAACAGTATAGCATACTTTTCACTGTGAAGTGCTAATATGTAAATAAGTATAAGAAAATGATTGCTTGTTCGTAGCATGTAAATTCAGAGTCAGGAATGATGATGATGCCAACCAGCTACAGATTGTCCACAAGAGTGCCTGAAATAGTGCCACCTTTGCTTTCTGATGGTTAAATGTACAAAAACTTATTTTGTGTACAAAATTATCAAAAATATTGTATAAAATTACTTCAGATAAGTGCATAAGGTGTATATGAAACATAAATGAATTCTGTGTATAGATTTCAGTCTCATTCTCAAGATATCTCATGTCTATGCAAATATTCACAAATCCAAGAAAATATGAAACCCACAACACTTCTGGTCCCAAGCATTTTGGATGAGAAATAGTCAATCTGTATTGTTAAGATGGCAATTCTCCCCAAATTGATCTATAGAATGAAACACAATCCCAATCAAAAAGTCAGCAGCCCTTTTGTAAAAATTGGTAAGCTGATTCTAATATTTATATGGAATACAAAAGACTGCATAACCAAACAAATTTGAAAAAAGAACAGAGGTTGGAGGACTTACACTACCTGATTCAAGACCTATAATAAAGCTTACAGTAAATAAGACACTATGGTATTGGCATAAAAATAGACAAATAAGTGAAACAGAATGAAGAGTGCAGAAATGGATCCACCGTATATGAACAATGATTTTCAACAAAGGTGCAAAGGCATGAAAGGATAATCTTTTTTAACAAATGGTATTGGAACAATTAGCTCTACATATACAAAATATTAACTTTGATCCATATGTCATAATCAAAAATAAAAGCAGATCACAGATCTACATCTAGAACCTAAAAACTACAGTAAAAATTCTACAGGAAAAGACTGAGAAAGAAAACACTTTGTGATCTTGGGTTATGCAAACTAAGATCAAAAACTAAAAGGATGCTCCCCCAAAAAGCCTGATAAATTTGACTTTATCAAGTGTTAAAACTTCTGCTCCTTAAAAGACATCATTAAGAAAATGGAAAAGGCAAGCTACAGATGGCGAGAAAAATGTACGCAAAATATATGTTTGACAAAGAACTTATATTTAGAACACATTAAGAACTATTACAACTCAATAAAAGACAAGAAACCCATTTTTTAATGGGCAAAATATTCAAATAGACTCCTCACAAAAAGAAAAAGTCTATAAATGACAAATAATTATGTTAAAAATGTGCTCAAAACTGTTAGTCATAAGCGGTTAAGAAAATGCAAATTAAAACCACAATAAGATATACATCCACTACAATGGCTAAAGTTAAAAAGACCAACTATATCAAGTGTTGTGAGGATGTGAGGAAAATGGGATCCTGCTACACTGTTGGTGACACAGTCATATTGGAAAACGTGCCAATTTACTGGAAAGTTAAACATATACCTATCATGACATGGCAATTTACTGGAAAGTTAAACATATACCTATCATGTGACCCAGACGTTCCACTATTATTACTCAATAGAAATGAAAATATGTTCACAGAAAAACTTGTACCCAAATGATCATAATTTCTTTCCTTGTAATCAGTAATAACTAAAAACAACCCAAATATCCCATATTGTGGTATATCCGTAATATAGAATGCTACCCAACAATAAAAGCTAACAAACTATTGATACACAAAAAACATGCATAAATTTCAAAATAATTACACTGAGTAAAAGAAACCAGATCAAAAAAAGAGTATATACCAAAAAGAATATATATATATATATATGTATAGAAAATGCAAACTAATACATAGTGATAGAAAGCAAATTCATGGTTGCCTCGGTATTGGGGTAAAGAGAGGTAGTGAGGGAGGTGGGCATTATAAATGGTCATAAAGAAACATTTAAGAGTTATTGATAGGTTTATTATCTTAACTATAAGATGGTTTCAACGGTAAATTTGTCAAAACTAATGAAATAGTATACTTTAAATATACACAGGCTATTTTCCATTAAAATATACCTCAATAAAGCTATATTTTAGTCCAACAACGAATTTTTTTTTAAAAAAAGAGAGGGGCATCCTAGTATGCTGTTTAATTTTACAAAACATTAGGTTAAATACAGTTGTGTCTTCCTTAGAAACACTTTTCAAATTTGTTACAAAAACTAGCAATTAATACCAAATTCTGTATGAAGGAAAAATTGAGCAAACCATTAGACTGAATTGGCTTGGTAGAAAGAGCTAAGATCCTTAGTTGGACGTTGAATAACTCCCTCCCTCTAAATTGCAAGCATTTGGTGTTAAGGGCATAATACAATTATCTCTTCAAAATAAAGCGAGACCTATGTTGAAATACTCATTTATCTCAAATTTTAAAAACATAACAAATGAAATATTTACTCTTTACCATGACCAGTAACAGCTCTCTCAGCTATAATCTTGATGTCGTGTGCCAACCATCTTAGCTGTATGAGATCCCTTTTCAAGGATCCTATTCATAGCATCTGTATTTTAAAATCAATTATTCTAGGAATGCTTTATCTTCATTTTTGTCAGCTCCTTTTTCAACAGTATCTCTTGAATTTATAAAAACAAGAGCAAGTCAATCAAAAGTTATGACCAAATCCCTTACATGATTGGTTATTTCCTCTTCACTATTTAATCAGTTCCCAAAATATCAAGATATTTTTATTTTAAAATAATATAAAGTACAGTGAGACACCATGTCTACTAAAAATACAAAACAAAACAAAACAAAACAAAACCTAGGCGTGGTGGCATGTGCCTGTAATCCCAGCTACTCGGGAGGCTGAGGCAGGAGAATCACTTGAACCCAGGAAGTGGAGGATGCAGTGAGCTGAGATCATGCCACTGCACTCCAGCCTGGACGACAGAATGAGAGTCTGTTCCAAAAAATAGTAACAATAAATAATAATAATATAAAGTAAAAATCCAGGTGGTAGAAATCAAATATTGATAAATTAACTGTCATTCTCATTCACCTTCAGTTCCTTTATTCTCTTCCCACTGTCTTTGGAATTTTCCATTTCTGGCATATGGCCTATATTCAAAATGCCAGGTCTATGGATCTCCATTTAAAAAGCAAAAGAAAGCTTATTGCACAGTAATGTTTGATAGCTCCCAAATACAATCAAGAAATAGAAATACACTCATAAAAAAGAGCTGCCAATATAATACATTGTACTACTTTAACAAAAATATCAAATGTATAAATATGTGTAATAGCTGGTATTATATTAAATTTTTATTGTGTTTTTAAAACTTTGATGAGAAGGGAAGAAGGGAAGGACAGGAAGAGGAAAATAAAGAAGATAAAGTAGCAGCTCAGACAGAAGGTTCATATAATCCAGTGCCTGGAAAATTCGGGTTCAATGAACATTTGTTGAATGAATTAATGAATAAATGCATGAATTTAAAAGCCTAATTTTACAATCACTTCATCATCTATCTCCACCTTGTTTACTGACATCACATCCATATTATGGCTTTTTATTGGTTCTTGAGCAGTAAAAAGCAAAGTTTGGGAATCCTTCAAATGTCTAAGGAACATACTAAGGTCAATTAAGCAATGTTAGTAAATATATGAGAAACAGAATTGACTTACATAAAAAGTATGAGATCAAGAATACTGTTTAGTTAAAGACAAAATAAAATGTGAGTTTCAGAAATGCCATCACTTTAGATGTAAAAAGTTGTATGTGTACCAACTGGAGAGCAACCTGTGTGAATCTGTAGAATATCTAAACTATAAAATATAGAAACTGATTATATTTGTATATATAATAACTATCAATAAATAGGCAAGCGTGTGAGTATACTTTGGTAGAGCTATTTTGTGAGTGTACTTAGGCATTTACTGTAAAGAAGAAGTAAAAACTAAAATTAATGTAGTCCAAAACATAAACTGGTATTTCTGAAGTGCTTAAAAAGATTTAAGACATTTCCTTTCTGAGTATGTTATTGAAATTAATGAAAGACATCTTATTGTGACTGCCCTCATGTGAAAAAAGTTTCTTACATAACGCACCAAAAGCTACAAACTCAAATCATGAACGTTCTTCCTTTGGTTAAGTGCATGTCACTATTAAATGTTACTATTGCCTTAGTTGGAGGGCACTGGAAAAAAACATACCTCCTCTCTTAATGTAAACTGTTCTCTGAAGTTACATTAGCACTATATTCTTAGCCGTAGAAAGGTAGTTTTGGCTCAGTCTTGTCTAAATTATCATAAACTTTAATTTACAATGTTACCTAATAAATGATTAAACTATGTTTGAATTTCATTATGGAGCTGAAGGATTTGGATGTTTGCTTACCTCGGACTTTAAAATACTTCACATGATTTGCCACAGCCTCTGTAACACTTTCATCTGGGCAGATTTTTACTCCATTAGGAAACAGAATAGATCTCCGCCTTCTGAGTAACCACTGTCTTTCAGTTTCTCTGAGGTCCAGAGGCTGTTTCTTTTTGGTAGCTAGAGAAAGGTCTGTTGATTCTTCAGGCAGGAGAAAAGAAACTGCACTCTTGGGTTCTTGGATCTCCTCTAAAGATAAGTAGGTTTGTGCTACAGAATGAAAGTATAGTCAACTCTTCTGATGATGAAGATACAGTACAAAAGGTAACAACTAAAGAAAAACTGACGCTTGTGCTACGTTAAGATATAGAAGCCAATGCCCAAACCATAGGCAGGCAGGCATATCTAAGGAAAAGAGGAGTGAAGCATTCAGTCTTTTTCCATTTAACTCCCACTCCTTTCATTCAAGATTGTTATCAAAACCAAGTAAATACACATCCAATTTCAACAAAATAAAAAAAGGTCTAAACCGGAAATTACTAATGAGGAGGGAAAACCAAAATTATTGGAGATATTTTAAAAAACGGCTTAAATGAAGCAATATCAAAGATTAATAAAGTAGTATTTGATTCAATTTCTTGCAGCAATCACATCAAATAATGTTATTTTTGAAGAGCATATACTACAGACATGGAAAGATAAAAACAAATGCAGATTTTTAAATACCTGTTAACGATGGAAAGTCTCCTATCAGGACAAATATCAAAATACCCAGAGAAATCTTCCCAAAAAGAGGAAACATAATCATTTGGGCCAAAACCAAAGGAATGAGGAGAGGACAAAATCCTTAACTGAGCGTCCAAATCCTTGAAACTTCCAATAACAACGAGTTATAGGAAAGACCTAACATTTAAAAGTCTATGTTTGAGAATGAACAACCACTTCAAAACCATTATAAATTAGCGTAAAGAAAAATGGTTGTCCTTTCAAAGTAGCTCTCACTTCTTTTCTGAAATAACCAGCATGCTATAAAAGCTGATGAGATAAGCTAATTAGAACAGATGGAGAGAGACAATTTCTTTATTCTAATCTAGCTAAGCTCTTTACTAACACTCTCCTTGCCTTTAACAAGCAGTCCACTAAGAATAATGTGTTTCACATACAATTCACTGATTTTTCCACCTTTTCTGAATCTATCAGTTGAACCTGATAGATTCACATTTTCTGGGTTTTCCTAGGGACTAACATGTATAAGCATAAAATGTCCAGACTGACTATACCTACCTACTTCAATACAGAGCTACATACAAATTTAGTTTTTGTATTGAAACTACTCTCTTGCAAATTTCCTTCCTTGATAGAAAAATCACTTACTTTGTCTCCTTCCTTTCCTATAAAATGGAATAGAAATAGTAAACTCATGGTAGAGCTAATGTGAGGATTAAACTAACTAATTAACTAATTTGATCTTCACATTTCTTAGAATAGTGCCCAGAACATACTAAGCACTTAATATAAATGATAGCTGTGTGATAACTTTGTTGTTTACTTTGCCATTAAATGTGAGACCCAGTATGTTTATGTATATGAGGAACTCTTAACCAAGAAAAGATTTTCTCTGCAGATGAAATTCTCTATATTAGAACAGTTTTTTAAATCAAATAAACCTAGTAGAAAGCAATTCATCAGAATATCTGTGGAAGCTAGGATTTACTATCAAATAGCAATGAGATTATATTTTATTTCATGTTATCTCTGGGAAAATCCTCTAAAAAAAAAAAAAGAATATTGTAAAGATCTAAACCACATTTCTCTTCAGAATCCTTGACTAATTGTGTTAGCTAAATCACCCTCAATGTTATTTTATGCTTTAGGAAAAGCTCAAGTATATTTTTTCAATACAGCCTCAAATAAACCACATTTTCAGCCTTTATAAAAGCTAACAAACCTAAATGACCATTAAATACATGTGCATAGTTGCATTTGCAAAATACTGGTAAGTTTATAAGAAACTTATTTGCCAAATTTATTGTATGGTAGGAGAAAAAAAGCCAAAAATTTTATTAGCTAAGTCAAAGTTTAATCTTAAGAAAAGCTTCATAAGGACAATTCAGAACAAGGGACAACTCTTAGGTAACAAATATTAGTTGGAAATTATTCTTTTTGATGGCCTTGACCAAAAAGTTAAAAAAAACTGAGAATCATAGTAATCTAGAAAGATTCCTGTATTTAGACTGAGAAAACCTGGGCTCAAATCCTGGTTTTATCACTTAATATTTGATTTTGGTAAATAACCTAAGCTCTTCGAGCCGGTTTACTCACCAAAGAAATTACATGTGATAATCTCTACCTGTATCACAGGGTCATTGTCAAGAATTAAGAGATATGAAAGTTCTCTGTAAACTTTGTATTTGTATTACTAGTAAACTTTGTAAACAGTAATTGTTTTGTATTACAAGTGTTCACAAAGTCCAAAGATGTTTCAAGCTTTGAAATTCTATTTTATTCAAGCTCCAAAATAAATTTTCCATTAACTTATATTTCAAATAATTTACATAAAAACTTCTAAAACATGTATTATATTATGTCCTATAAAATATAGTTGGTATAATTGTACTTCAAAAAAAGAAGTATAAGAAATTAGATGGGTTCATTTGTTTCGAAATATAATCACCATTTTACAAATTCATTTTGTAAAATGAATTTGTATTGTATACATTTATTTGTAACTTTGAACTGCATCATTCTTAGAATAACTGTATCTATGATACAAAGCAGGTGATGCCTGCTATAAGTTTGTGTCATAGGAATCCGAAAGCAAGAGTAACTCCAACTAGAAAAAGAAAGGGGGTGGGGGCAAAGCAGGGGGTGGGTATTTCAGCTGCACCTTGAATGGCCTACTTGGCATTTCAGTATTTCAGTGGGCAAAAGTGAGGATTGTTAGTGGGAAGAACTAAGAGTTAGGAAAGAAATCCCTGGTAGTGATCAATAAGGTGGAAAAGTACACTGTTTTATAAAGAAAATAGGAAGATATTTGCTAGAGCAGGATAAGAGCATACAGCAAATAGATTGGGAATGAAGGCTGAAAAGTTGAGATTGATTATGGAATACCTTCAAAGTTTTAGCAAGAATTTTGGATTTTTTTCCTACAGATGAAACAGATTGTCTCTCTAATGTTTACTCAAAAAATATATTTGTTGAGCTTTTATTTAAGGACATTCTTTTTAGGAAATATTTCAAAATCTCATAGGATGGTCCTTGAACCTTTTATGCTTCAAGAAATCATAAGCATATGAGAAACTAAACATAAAACTCTGTGCTTTAGAGACAACAAATACAGATTCCTTCATCTAAACTTAATTACAAATCAGTCAAGGGTCATTACTGACTCAACAAAATTTTCTGAGTGTTTACTATATGCTACTAAGACACTTAATGCCAGAAATGGAAAAATGCTTCCAGTCTCTGAGGAGCTTACAGTCTAAGGAGAAAAACGTGTATACAAGTAATATAAAACAGTAATTAGAGAAGTATATACGAATTGCTACAGGGGAGCAGGAGGGGGAATGAATTATTGTTTGAGTAGGTGTAGGGGTGGTAACACTTAAGTTCAATTTTGAAAAAATAAAGTTCACAAGAAGTGGTGAAAAGGTATGGAGGTACAATGTCACAACCCCCACTCCACACAAGCATCTGTAGTCTTGGGTTCAAAGTGACATTCACACTCATGGGACAACAGTCCAAAACGTGGCTCCAGGCTTACTTTGTAGAGAAACACGGCACAGGAAACAGTGTTATAATAACAATTTCAAGTAAAGTACATCTTCATCTGGAGTCTTTATAGAAGCCCTGACTCTGATTTTTCCAGCCCCCAAGAACGATGCACGAAGCTGTAACAGAAGAGACTATCTGGGTGGGAGCAGGCCACAGAAGCAGACAGAAGCCTCATACACACAGAACTGTGCCTCTTAACAACGCATGGGCTAAGTTTCCAAATTTCCACAGGGACAAGCTTAGTTACAAGAGACTGCAGAGGGAAGTACCCTAAATGCATGAACGAATACTTTTATACAACTGCAAAAGTAGAGGACAATGGAAAGATGAGAATAGGATATAGGCTGGAACAAGATTAAGGATGGGTTCTATATGCCAAGTCTAAACCTATTTTTCCTCTTGGCATAAAATAAGTTGATTTCAAAAGGTATTAAACTTTTTAAAAGTCCTAATTAGGTGATTGGATATGATTTAAATAACTTTTTTTTTTTTTGAAACGGAGTCTCGCTCTGTCGCCCAGGGATCTCCTCATTCTTTTGGGGTGCAGTGGCACGATATTGGCTTACCGCAAGCTCCACCTCCCGCGTTCACGCCATTCTCCTGCCTCAGCCTCTCTGGTAGCTGAGACTACAGGCGCCCGCCACCACGCCTGGCTAATTTTTTCTTTTTTCTTTTTTTTTTTTTTTTTGGTAACATCCTAGGAGCTGTGAATTTAAAATAATATTATCTTCTCGAGGAAGGCTTGCTTTGTTCACTAACAGCTCTCTGTCTCTCTACCGCCTCACTAACACACACACACACACACACACACACACACACCCCCTCTAGGCTGAGCTCCCTCCTGCATTCCCAAAGCAACTCTATGGTTGTTCTTACCAGAAAATATTTAAAATGTTCACATGTCCATAAATGACTCAGGAACAAAAGCTATCATTCACTTTTTGTGCCTAGCAAAATGCCTGCTAGTAGTAGATGTTAAAATACTTTCCCTGAACTGAAATGACACTCAAACTATATGCTTATTAAACTATGAGGAAAAATTAATATAAGCATCAATTTCACGATATACACAGAGCAGCATACAACTGGAAATTTATTTCTAACAGTAACTCATGTTTCTTGAGGAAAAAAATTACACCTCAATTTAATGAATTGGAAATATGTTTAATATAAAACACTGATATCCTCAAAACATTATTTGCACATTAATTTAGGAAAACGAATTTTAAACAATCTTCAAAACATGATAAAGGACAGTGGTATCTTTGAAAAACATACAAACAAAAACATTAAGAAATCACAAGATGACTTATAGACTTGCTTTCCCAAAATTAGATGTACAAAACAATAGTCACCTTTAAAAGTACCCCCCAACACACACAAATTGGGAATGAAATATGTAATTATAGCCATCTTTATATGAAATATCCAAAAGACAAATATCTTTAATAATACAAAGATAGCGACAAAATCAAAAGCTAAGAATACTGAGGCTTAAGTGACAACCTCAATTCATATGATTTTGAAATAAAATGTTCAGACTTTCTAGCTTTATCTTAAATTGCCTTTGCTTCACTGCTTTACATAGTTATAATGTAAATCTAAGAGATGCTTAAAACAGATTAAAATAATATTGTTAAAAAACATTTTTCTTATCTGAGAAAATACAATATAATCATGTCTCCCTCAAAATACTCCTGATAACATTAGAAAGTTCTGAAGTGCTTAATCATACACAATGCCACCATTATCACATGAATTCAGAACTGTTACCTGAATATTTAATAAAAAATTAAGTTCCATGAGGATCATAGGTCTCTAAAAGCTACAATTTAAAAATATAAAAGCAGTAAGAGCAATCTGGCTTTGCAAATGAATACTGGGTAAATTGAGCTATAAAATTATATATTTAATTCTAACCATTAATAAATAGGACTGAGGGTTTTCTTTGTTAAAGTTATGAGGACATCAATTTTATCTTCTATATTACAGAAACTATACATAAATTCCGTGATAATGTAAGAGTGAATATTTATATAGCAGTACCTCAAGTTGAGCTACATGGATAATTTTTAAAAAACTATTTTGCACAGGTAAAATTTTTTGTTTCAGATTTTACCCTGAACAAATGAACTAAATTATAGGATGCTCACATATGACATCAAAAGAAATGAAAAAAAAAGAGAGCAGAGTAATCGCATTTAGCAATTGAGAATAATAAGCTGCACTTTAAAAGAGCGAATTTTTATAATCTTCCTAACATTAAGAATGTCTTTTTGTTACATACAGAAGGGATGCCATAAATGGCATTTTCTGAAGCCTTGATACTAAATTCTTTTTTAAAAAATACACAGTATTCATACTGCATGCTTGAGCTGCAAAGAATAGAATTACAATATGATGTGACTTGCCAACAAATTTGACAAGCACTGGGGCTGGCACCAGGGAGGCTTTCACTCCCCTCAACACCCAGTCATGTGGAAGTACATACAGATCATGTAAGTTTTATTATCTACAAAACATTTCCATATTACATATGCTATTGCATAATCCAAGCATATTTACTCAGAAAAATATGAAATATTTATAAAATTTTAATTTATATCTAATAAGTTTATCTGTATCACCCCCATTCCCACTCCATTTATAAGATCCCAACAATTCTAATAATATATCCTATGTATTTTAAATAATGTTCCAATGACTTATTATAAAACTACTGCAAGTTATTTTCTTCTCTGTGAGCTGGCTAACACAAATGCTAGTAAGAGGCTTTCCAGTAATCTTAGAGAACATCTGTGTCATGTTTGTACAGATTAACTAGCTACTGCTGCCCTTCTGTTGCTGTAAATGAAGTTTCAAGATGAGCTCTCGAATATCTTCCCGTTTGGTCTTTATTACATGACGAGGAAACCATTTCTCCAAATGAATTGGAAGTTCAAAATTAACAATAGGATCCTAATGAGAGGAAAAAAAGAGTGCAATCACTTTAGCAGCATAATTTCAAATTTGTTTTAACTTCATTTTTATAAGAAATGACAAATTGCTAACTTTTTTAAAATAACAATTATATTAAGATATAATTCACATAATACAATTCACCAATAGCATACAATTGAGCATTTTTAGTATATTCACAGTGTAACCACTTCCACAATCAATTTTAGAACATTTTTATCAAATTGCTAACTTCTAAATATCAAAATTAAATACTCTGTTCTGCTACAATGTATGTTTAAGTGAATGAGCACAAACAGAATTGGTAAATAAAGAATGATTCAGAATGAAGTTGGTTTTATCACAACTTTTCCCAACATGTTAAGATTTTGAAATATTAAAGAGAAAGCCTTAGTAGTTAATGAAAAATCTCAGATTAAAAATGGAAAATCCTGCCAAGTGCCTTCTTTCGGTGTAAGAAATAGCTGACTTATGGCTTCAAGAATCACTACTGTTTCAATGATGTTAAGCTTAACCAGGAAATCGCAAATTGCAACCACAGGACGTTTCCCCGAGTGTTTAAAAAAAAAAAAATTCTGAAAAGGGCTATCCTTAGCATATGTTTATAAACTTGATAAAATTATTAGAAGCCAGAGGTAAGAAGCACTTACATCTTGAAGAAGGAATTAAGAGCCCAGGGCGTATGGCTGAAAGGATGGACTGATTGTGAGTCCAGGAGCAAATGCTAGTGGAGAATTACTGTGCCAATATTTTTATTAGAAGTAATATTATTTT